TCTAGACCCCAAAGTGCATACTTTAAGAACTAAGACCTAATAAGTGTATTTTACGTTAACATTTTTATCTTTTAAACCCTACGACTTTTTCGAAATCTGTTTTTTAAACAAATATAAACAAGTTCAAAACAACGTATGTAAAAATCTACATCTCACTATATAAGCGCTTTATATGAAAACCAGCTAATAGCCTAACGTTCGCGTAGCAGAAATTCGAATTTCTCCGAAGTTTATGCATGCACTGATTTCATTCATACATAAAGAAATTACACACAAATACACACTAATATTTGGACACATCTCTTTTCTTCTAAAATCTATGGATTAAAAAAAGTTCCGCCAGGACAACGTTCGCCCAGCGGAATCAGTTTTTGGTTAATTTCTCCACAATGGCTGCATAAACAATTTTTTTTTACCATTCACAATTATCGGACGTCATTTTAATTATCTGCATAATTAAAATCTTTAAATTCAACAACATTCCGCTGCGCGAACGCACACGTAGTACTAAATAATTTTAGAAAGTACATAATAAATCGGAAATAGTCACATTGGTAGGTACTTGCCATCGATAGGTTTGGAATCCTCATGCAAGAGAAGCAAGTGTCTTATCCTCTAAGCCACCACGACACCCACTTTACAGTATTTATGTTGAATCCCATGTACCTACATTGCCATATACAGGCACAATTCTAGACACTCCGTGCAACTACTGAGAATATTTGAATGTGTTAAAAACTTTACGTAAGGGTATGGCACGACAGTCTTATCGGCAAGCTTCCTGCATATGGACTTCCTGCTGATCTGTGCAGATGGATAGCAGACTTCCTGAGGGATCAATCAATACGAGTAGTCATCGATGGCTGCTCGTCTGACCAATTCGGTATTAACGCCAGCGTCCCTCAAGGGTTAATACTGTTCAGCAACACTCTTTTTGCTGCACATAAACGACCTGCTTAAAGATACCGGGCGGTATCTTTGGGTATGCAGATGACAGCACAGTTGTTGAAAGGTATGTGCCCGATGCGCAGACTAATGGAACACAGATCCGGTCTCTAAGAGAATCCATGGTTGAGCGTTTGAATTCGTTCTTGAAGGCAGTCTCCGACTAGGGTAACGCCAACTTGGTAAAGTTCAACGCTAGCAAAACCCATTCTCCGCCAAACGGAGTCAATTTCCGCTGACTCCTACTCTCCGGAATGTATTCGTTCCATTAACCGATCATCTGTAATCTTAAGCTGCTTGGCGCAACTCTGATGCCCATAAATAACTTTCGCTCCTATATAGAGTCAAATAGCAACTGGCTAGTAGGAAGTTGGGCATCCTATACAGTGTGAGACGATACTTCACGCCGAAACAATTACTGAACCTGTACCAAGCACAGGTTTCGTCCTGTATGGAGTACTGCTCTCATCTTTGGAACGGCTCGGTTAAATATCAGCTGGACGCGTTAGAGTACATTGAGAGGCGTGCCAAGAGGCTCATCAACGATATTGCGCTAGTGAAAGCCCGGCTTCAAAGCCTCGAACACGGTACACGTAAGTTTGCAAGCCTTTCGGTTTTCTATGTATCCGACATTTCGGTGAGAGCGCGGTGGCGCACAAATTGATTCCCCTTAGTCCTTTCCATTATCGTACCAAAAGACAATCGGCGAAGCGTCACCGGTTCATGGTAGGTATCCCACACACACGCACGAAGCGCTTCGCATCAAGCTTCCTTGTGCGTACTGCTAAGGATTGGAATTAGTGAAACAAGTGAATTTATTTCTGCAAATAGGCTACAAGGCAGCACTTTTACACGTCAATTTTATATAGCGAACGATGAGGTCGACATTTCCTAACTGACTACTCTGAGAAGAAATGCCGAAACAAACTCAAAGTTTCAGTCATTGTTTGCCAGTCTGTATTTTCTAAAGGGTACCTATAACCTGGGTGTCTGTAGTCGCAATAGGTCGTTTATGGGACGACGTGTTCCATTGGACCGCTTCATCGCTTACCACCCGGCGAGATAGTGGCCAACAGTCGCTTCGGCCCATAAAACATAAGAAAAACCTTTATGGTTCTCTCTCGAGTGCGATTCTCGGACCGGGCAACGTAATATTGTGTAAAGTAAAAAGAAAAACAATTTATTTGTTGAGACATTTATTCGTAGTCCATTAATGTTACAATTTAAATAGTTTCCACCGAAATTAAATATTTTACAGCCAACTTTACAGTGAATTATGACAAAATAATTTTGTATCTGATTTTTGAAGATTACACAGTAAGACCGTACATTAACGTTGTTTATGTATAATATACAATTGATATTAACACGTGATTTCCAAATATACACACCTTGACCTCAGCTGTGACGTTATAAGTAACAAAATAATGTAACATTCGAATGAATAATTCAACTAATACGCGAACGGTTGGTCAGTCAGATATACACATTTAACAATAGTTTCATTGCTACAATGCCCACATATTGTCCAGAACGAGCTAATAATGAAAGACAATACAACATTACAACCAATACTAATATTATGTTTAACAGATATGTCGCTAACTACAAGTAGGAACGGAACTAGAAAAGATCGCGTGCAATCTGAGACTATCAAATATATTGCATACTTGTGGAAACTTAACATAAACACTAACAGATAGAAAAAGCGATTCTCTATTGATTAATTCATTAAATACTGTCAAATAAATTGTTCCCCTGCGATTAAAGTTTACAACAGTTTATTAATATTTTATTACAATCAACCCATTACGTTATCCATCTAACTCCACTCAGAATATGTAAAAGATATTTTAATTAGATTATATATTTTCTAGTTAACTTAATGAAAATGTTACTTTTTCTAAACAAAAAACCTAGTATGTAGTACCCTAATAAAATTTTGTATGCTTAGTTCATTTAAAAAAACCAGGTTCAAGCTGACTTTATTTGGCTTTTGACGGCTTCGTGAAGCAGGAGAGCAAGCCCGATCAAAATGTTAAACTTAAAATATACAAATATATCAGTCAGTGGGCTGTAAGCTACATTCTATTTTCCTAACTACAGTACAAATAAGTCATCGCGCGCTATCACCAATCACATTCACACTAACCTCAAGAATTTGTTTAACAATAAGTATATTTATTAATTACTAAATACAGATATATAAATTATATCCACTTGTTCGAATTCATGATATTATCCTTAATATACAACATCAATAAAATTATGTATTCAATATACATAAGAGCGCGAAATGCAATTTTTTATTCTTATGTTACATTTACGCAATTCATATTCAACATGGAAAGCTATTTTTCTTTAATACAAAAATAACATTATAGACAAGGAATGAACATTTAACATTTAATTGACGTGCATTTGAAGTTGTCATATTATAAATATTTCAAAAGCTTCGTCATTTAATATTTATGTGTTTGTTATAAATTACATGTCGTAGACGAAACGTTCGCCTTTTATAGGTAAGTATTGACTATAGAGTTATGGTTTCCGCAGATGGTGAGTTTATTGTTATTATTTATCTATATCGACTTTAAGTTAGCTCGACCACCGACGGGAACCAATACATAAATCTCAGTACAAATTGTCCTCGCCTCTCACGTCTTGTATCGCTCAATGATGTGTGGATATCATCATTGAACACATTAATCCTTCAATCTCAATAAAATCTAAATTTTCACAAACTAGACATTGGAAGCTAGAACGGACGACGGTTGCTATAGATAGTGGCTCAATTAAACATGAAACATCACATGCGCAAAAATGCGCAACTAAGTATTTGTTTCGTATATTTTTGCGCATGCAAGTTACTTAGCCAGTTATTGAGACATTTAAGCTCACATCACGCACTTAAATTGGGAAATCAGAAAAGCAACTAAATCTAAATAATAGCACATGAACACAGGAGAAATAAGGAGACATAAAAATACAGTAAAAATTGCTACTAATCAGACAGTTTATATAGTCACATTTATTATTTAATTAATTACTGTGTGTATTGTACGAATAATGAGCTTAAATGACCAACTACACAATCTGCCTTGACACTTCCTTACGTTTTATCAACCACCTCGTCCTGCCGAGAGAATACATAAATCCACAATAACAGGCCGTTACATAGAAGTCATACACGCAACGGTCGCCGGTCTCTTTTACATAAAGAATAACAAATCTGAAAGTAAATATATCTTTGTTATAATTAGTTGTATGCACATTGCACATGTCATTGAATTTGTAGATCCGGCTAATAATTGTGACATACTTGACTTTAATACATACTGTGGCGGACATGGGCGACCGTCGCGTGTACAAGCAACTTACTCTCGTACTTAGTACATCACAACCCATGTTCAATGTGAACATTCATTTTGTTCAATACTGCTCCCGTCTAATACTTGCCATACTTTGCTGCACTAACACTCACTGCAGGAAGTCCTGAGATCATCTATAAATACTTATATCTCACTGGGACATGGACCGCTATATATTTTGATTTAGTAGATCTCACAACCTACTTAAACATAATGCAATTTAAAATGTAAATATATAAAATTATTTATCCAATCAACATCACACATGTAAATATACTGTACACTAACAATATACATTTACTGTATTCGCGATATATCCATTTATTTATATAACATGTTAAAGAGATGATCTTCTACCATATACCTAATTATTATGTTAAACGAATTTTACTAACATCAAGTCTGTATCCACAACGTTCTAAACAAACGCAAAGTGTAGCAAGTGTTAGATCCAAATCTATTCGTTACTAGTTTACAGAGATCTCGAACATTAAACATTTACCTAATTGTAAGGTGACTGATCCGCTGCTGGGCAAACAAATGCTGGCCACGCGAGGTTCATCTCGAACTACTGAACTCACAGAGGTGAGCGTATGATAGTACTCGGTCCTGGACCGAGCATCTCCTTTGGCTAGTTACAATTGCACGTGTACCGAGGAGGCCGAGACTGGCTGGCGACGCTGTCTACGTGGACAGGTAGAGGCGGTGGTAGTCGTTGGCCCCGAAGGCCGCGTTACACTTGGGACACTTGCGTTGCCGCGTCTCATATCGCGTGCGCAAGCAATCCCAGCAGAACACGTGGAAACACTTTGTCAGTACCGCGTCCTTGCGTTTTACCTGCAGAATAACAAACAATATAGTATCGTACTCGTGTTTAACCAGTTTATGCTTATAGAATAGCTTGACAATCTACAATATGTAAGTTAGAACGATACATACCTTGCATGAGGGGCAGGTGAGTGTCTCCTTGTATTCCCGGATCTCCTCCAGTAGAACCTCGTCCATACTGCTGCCCGCTTGTTCCATTTTCTTCATTCGCTCCGCTTTGCGGCGTAGGATGGCCAGCTCTTCCTGTAATCGAGATATACTTGCTTAGAAGACATGATATAACATACCATCAACATTTGTTTTCCGTAGTCGTTTCTTATATCCCTAGAAATCAAACTATAATTATTTGTAGTAGGGCTCTAGGATTATACACAGCATATGCCTGTAATAAATCATCCTATTAAGTTTTTCTCACAGAATACATACAAATATGCGTGTTGAAACTCTTCTAACAGGAGGTACAAATATTTCATCATTACCTTACGTTAATGTGAAATGAGAAGATTTCTACTATTAACAAATATACAGTAACAGACACTTACATGTAGTCTTTTTGTTTTATATGCTTCAGCTTCCAAAGCACTCGTCTTCTCCGCCACTACTTGTTGCGCCTCCTTCATTTGCGCGTGGTATTTTTCTGAAAATAAAGCAAATGTTACATTAGCTCGTGTAGTATATTAAACCTTTTTAGTTTTTTAAACTGTTATAACTAGCTAAAAAAGTTTTGTGAGAATCCATTTTTACGACTCGAATCAGACAAAGTGTCAGTGAAAATTGGCACACCAATCAATAATGTCTGCAAAGACATATTCTACGTTCCTCGCTTCAGAAGATAGATAATTTGTTAGCACATGGCAGACTATCATCAGAATCCACTAGCATAATCTATTTAATTGATAAACTGAGAGAAACAAATACTTCATTTTTCATCTTATTTACATCAAGGCTAAAGCATTTTCGGTTTATGGAAACCGAAAATGATTTTATGCTTATCGTTGTAATCGTGTATACTTTATCTGCGTACCTAAATGCAGTTTGAGGTCGGCAGCAGACTGTGCAGATTCTATAGCCTTTCTCTTGTGCATCTCCATGGCCTGTTGCCGCAGCAGTAGTTCCTTCTCAACGGCGGACAGCGTCGCCTGCAGCAAGCGTTCCTTCTCCTCCAGTCGACGCGCCACCGCGCCCATTGACTCGATCTGTTGGTCGCGAGTTAGCACCTGGATGTACAAGAAAAATGATTAATTCACCAAATATGTTATGAGTTCCATGTAAAAGAAGGTATTGACATACTCCATGTTATTATTGACCCATCTGACTGGCAGTGAAAGACACCCTATGATTTCTAATTATAAGTTTAAAATCGCCAATCCGCATTCAGCAAGCGTGGGGATTAATGATCAAACCTTCTCCGCGCAAGGTTCGCCTTTGGTCATCAGTCGCCACTGCTGGCTTACTACGACTACGAAGCCCGATACACCTTGAAACTAGTCCGAAAACCAGTATTTAACTCCATATACGTAGGTCACTACAAAAGTTTTGTCGTATGACAAATAGTTAATAGTTATAATTCAACTGAGGGTAGATTCTAATACATCAACTAATGTCAACATATTTTGCATAAGTTTCGTTGGAGTAACTAGCTTAGTATTTTTTTAGTGAATTTTTTAACAATTGGATATGTCAGATTTAAATCGTCGTGACGTTCGGGTGATAATTTTGTATAACTTTAAGCGTGGATTATCAAAACAACAATGCTTCGAAGAAATGAGTGGTGTGTTGGGTGATAATTGTCCATCCCTTAGGACTATAGAAAGATGGTTTTTACAATTCAATCGCGGCAATTTTAATTTAGAAGACGATTCAAGACCGGGCAGGCCGATTGACGCAACCACTGATAAGAATATTGTGGCTGTGCGAAAAGTGATTGAAGGAGATCGCCATGTAACATACCGTCAGATCGAGGAAACACTCAATTTAAGTGCACCAACTATTCATCGAATTCTTCATGAAAACTTAGGAGTACGAAAGCTTTGTTCACTTTGGGTACCACATTTGCTAACTGATGCGATTAGGGAACAGCGCGTCAAATGGTGTAAAGAAATGTTAAAAAAATTCAATGACGGCAAATCTAACTATGTGAATTCAATTATCACTGGTGACGAAACCTGGCTGTATTATTTCGACGTTCCAACTAAATCCCAGAGTAAAGTGTGGGTGTTTGAAGACGAAGATCCTCCGACGTCCGTTAAAATGTCCCGGTCAGTCAAAAAAAGAATGGTAGCCGTATTTTTCTCCAGAAGAGGTATTTTATCAATAATTGTGCTTGATAAACAGAAGACTGTGACAGCTGCCTGGTACACTGAAAAATGTTTACCTCAAGTTTTAGAATCTTTGAAAAATGAACGTCCAAACTCAAGACTCGACACTTGGTTCTTGCATCATGATAACGCTCCCGCGCATCGAGCCGGCAAAACTGTGGACTATCTGAGTCAAACTGGGATCAAATTACTGGGACACCCTCCTTATAGCCCAGACTTAGCACCGTGTGATTTTGGCCTGTTCCCATATGTAAAAAAGCAACTAAAAGGCCGCAAGTTTACTAATGATGACCAACTTTTAGGTGCTTTTGAGGAGATATGCAGCAGTGTGCAGGAAGGATTCTGGAGCGACATCTTTGATACGTGGTTTGCACGTATGAAGACCTGCCTAAGTGCCAATGGAGAATACTTCGAAAAAAAATAATATTTCACGGAGTACGACAAAACTTTTGTAGTGACCTTCGTATATCTCAAGACATTGTAAAAAAGCGTAATAAGAAACTAGCATATTACCTGTTCCTGTAACAACTGCTTCTCTTCCCGGAGCAGTTTGTGCAGAGAGTTGGCTTTGATCCGCTCTGACATCAGTTTGAAGTTGGCGTCGTCTTTCTCCCGGAGTTGCTGTATGAGGCGAGAGTTCTGTTCCTGCATGTCCTCAAACGCCTGCCCCGTCACCTCCATCTCATTGAGCAGAGCTTCCTCCTCCTGTGCATTGGAAAAGTACTATTTACTATTATTATACTGACCATTTGTTCAGTCAGTTTTTTTTATGTTATGGTTAGCTTATGAGACGGTGAAGTTATTTATATTAAAGGATTAAGTACAATAATTAGTAAAGTATGAAGTTTTAGAGTGGACAGGCGACAGATTTTATCTGTTAAGTAATGTTGCAAGTTGTAATGTTAATTAATAATATAAGTAAACAGGATGCCAGCATTCATATGATTGTAGAAAATACTGAAAGATTGTAAGGATGTATGGATAGATGCGTGTATGTTACTCTCTAACACTAAAACTACTGAATAGATTTGAATGAAACTTAGCACCGAGACAGATTTACCCTGAGAACCCAAGCGAAAACTGCTGGTGAAATGAGTATAGAAGATGGCGTAGTATAGGTAATGTTATAAAGCTGAGCAATGAATTTGAACCCGCACCCATATCAATGAAATTTTACCTGTTGGACGTACCATTGGTAGGTGACTAGTCTCTGTCCGGATTAATATAATCTGCTGCCGACTTGTAAATTGTAATAAGACAGTGAAGAGAATCAACACTTCTGTTTTGATAAGTAAATAGAGTAGATAACCATGTTTTGAGTAAAATTGTAATTTGTAAATCGTTTTTCTATCCTGCGCGGAACTAATCTTCATGTTATTCACAAATTGCAATACGGGATTATCTTAGTCATAACGCCTTTTCTCCCCAAATGGGTAGGCAGAGGTGCACATTACAGCACTTAGTCTAAGACTAAGTATGGTGTAAAAAAAAGTAATAATATATGGCTAATGTTACCGGTGATCCAGCGAAGGGTCTCGTGAATGCGTGCAATGGGTCGGCGTTGGGTCTGGCACAAGACAGTTGTTTTTGCAGCTCGTATTTCTGTTCCTCCAATTGCTTGATCTTGCGTAGCGCGTCCTCGTCTGCCAGTCGACGTTCTCGCTTACTTTCCTATGTAATAGATAAAAGAATATTAATATTTTGAAGATAATGTAATAAAAGCTTACAGCTAGACTAGAATAAAGACTTTTTTTCAATATTATAAATCCATCCAAAGATTGTATGTAAGAAATCATCTTGCATGATAACATCGCCTATTAGCCCTTAACATTGCATCCCTATTAAATAAAGGGCGTGAATATTGTCACATCAGGAATAATACCTGAATCTGTGCTAAATAATTTTGAAAAAAAAAACAATCCATTCAACCTCTACGACTATCTAGTTAAACCTATTTAAATCCTACCTGTGCCATCTTGGCCTTCTGTCGATGGTCCTCTAGTTCCTGCCTGGCCTTCCTCTCAGCAGCCATGAGCTGCACCTTATCTCTCTGCTCCTTGCTAACCCCCTTGTACATATCCAGCAGCAACTTCAACTCCTTCTGCTCATTTACTGCCTTCCTGATAATGTTACAAATAAATATTGGATGAATACATACACACTATTTGTATTATCACTGCTGAATTTATAATCTTATGTGACCTAATAATTAATAATTGTAATGTCATTCGGTAATAATAATTAATCCAAATCATTGTTTCCAACTATTTTCTAATTTTGTATGCTGAAAAAGCTAACATAGCGTTTAAAAATGTTATTCAAGACCCTAATGTTACCTATGTTCGCAATTAATTAATTAAATAAATTTGAATAAAGGTTTCTTCTTAAACGAAAAGGTTGAGGACAGACAGTTTACAAAATGCTACATGCCTGGTCAATTATAGCAACCCGGGTTAACCCATAAAACCCCAAGCGGTCACCGGTGACCGCTCTCCCCTAATATTACATTACATTATAGACCTTATTTCCAATATTTAGAGACTACTTTTGTATGACCAAATTTAGGGGATGGATTTCAACGGGTTAAATTCTTGTTCTTGTATGTCTCATGGGTCATATTCACCTTGTTATATTTGCTCATGTAACTGTTTAACGGGGTAATAGGATAGATGACTAATTTTTATTTTAATGTTGTTTATTTTAATGGCAATAGGCTCACCCCCTATTACGTGGGACTCATAACGAATAGTGAAAAGTGGGTGTTACATTGTATAGTGGCATTAAGTGCCGTAATGTGCACCTGTCTACCCTTTCGGGGATAAAAGGCGTGATGTTATGTTATATCCGTCTGGGTAGATCATTTAAACACATTAGACACGCATTTTCTATTTTCTTACAGAAACAAATAGTTTCGAAGATATATTGATTTGAAATATCGCATGACGTCACTTTTGAGTACGATTTATACTCTAAAATGACGTAGCTACCTCCCACTCCTAAACTTTGATTCTTTTTATCTAAGTATTGATTTTTTATACGATAAAATAAAAAATAAGTGTCTTATATTTCTTTATCCCAATTCCACTAATGTCCAAATACTCAAAAGCCACTCAATATGTCTTTATCACTACAAATACACTAAGAACTATATATAACACTACAAAACTTCGTAAAATGACAGAGATGGCACGATATTTTAGTATAACTTAAAAACTTATGCTATGATTAGCCTTTCAGTATTCGGGCGTAATTCCAAGTCACGCCAGGACCAACAGTCGCAACGAGCGCATTCATTAACAAACTAGTAGTCATCGTCGAGTTACGTGAGTAAGGCGTAGATCCTTATTTATATTATAAATCGGAAAGTGAGTTTGTTTGTTTGTTCCACTTTAACACCGTAACTACTAAACAGATTGCTTTTTTTGCCAGATTAAATAATAGGGTACTTTTTATCACTGAAAAATTTGATATTCCCGAGGGAAAACAAAAGTATTGGTATAGATGGCGCTGTGTGTTAGTATATGTCACATTGGCTTTTTATCCTTTTGTGACGCGAGCGAAGCCGCGGGTAAAGCTAGTTAAAATATATTTTGACTATAAATGTCGTACTTGAGTTGTAGTTTGAGATCCTTGATGAGTAGGTCCTGTTCCTGCAGCTTGGCGCGGCTGTGTTCCTTGTTGGCGGCGGGCTTGGTCTCGGCGCCGCCACTGCCGCCCTCCTCGCCCTGGGACACAATATATGCGCTATTGAGCAAACTCTACCTACGGTGCCGTGAGGAAGGTCGTGACACGCTCAAGGATCTGCTTGGGCATAAGCAAGCACTGGCTTAAATTCGGAGTATAATACGTATAATATTATTACTATATTATTTATTGATTTTCGTAGTCTACAACCCGTGTAAATATTTCTTTTCATTATATCCCCCCAAAGGTTGTCTGGTAGAAATCACTATAAGTGATAAGACCGCCTTTGAGCCCATTATTATTTTTTATACATGTTAATTTAAAGATTATTCTATAAACCTTCCTCTTGAATCGCTAAGCACTATCCGTTGCGTAGTTTTATACATCTCATCACATAGAGACAGAGACAGAAAAAAAAACAATCAGCCGAACATAGCACCACCTTTTTTTTTGAAGTCGGAAGACTTTGTTTTATATTGTGTAGTGATAAATTAATATACTTAAAAATAACAGGAAAAAGAAACCCAGAAAACCTCATTTAGTATGTTTATTCTGTACTTTAAAAAAAATTCTAGTCGTCTATCCGACCGTGGTGTGCCAATAGTTAAATTCGGAAATTATTTGAATCGTTGGCATATACTTTATTGGTAATACTTTAGTGTTAGTTATATACCTCTGGATCAGGCTCCTCCTTCTTGAGTGCATGTGGTTTCTCGTCAGCGGCGTCACCTCCAATAGATACTCGGGCACCCGCCTCTTCTAACTCCTTCCGCACCTTCACAATACAGATATACGCTCAGTAAATATTTAACATATTATAACAAAAATGCAAACCCACTCGCCCCAGTATGGTAACTAATCACTCATTTCCATTTATTTTACCTTTTTATTAAAAATTTTGCCTTTTTTCACAGATTGTCTGTGAAACAAGTCCAAAAATCACGAAAATCAGTCACATAAATACTAAAATATATATAAAAAAAAACAAATACTGCCAGAGTGGATATTTGATTTATACAACAATTAATGCAATTTGTTAGCAATTTGTTTTGCCTCGTTGGCCGAGTGGTCGCAAGTGCGACTGCCGGGCAAGGGGTTATGTTATGTTATGTAAATAAACAAATATTCTTCTATTCTTCTTTTTAAAGTACAGATACACTCGACTTTTACATACCTTATTTAATTCCTGACTAGTATCCTTGTATTTCCTCTTATAACGATGCACCTCGCCCTTGAGTTGCTGGTTGTGATTCTGTAGCGATGTGATGAGATGTCTCATCTCCCGGTTGATGGGTCCAGTCTGCTCGTTGGCAGCCAAGTTCTGCTCGAACTCGATACGTAACATCTCATATTCTTTCCTTAACTGGCCTAACACATCTTCTAGTTGTATCATTTCAGCTCTTAATGTCTTCTGCCGTGAGAGTTCTTCACTCTGGAAGTAAAGTTATGGTATTAAAAAATACTAAACGTATGTACCTAGCAACTAGACAATAATAGATTATGTTGTACAGCTTAACTATTGGACTATATCGGGAAATAAATGTGTAAATCCTCCGCTAACCGTTGGTGCTCATTAATAAGATACCTGGATGCTTACTCTTGGAACCAATCTCAATGTCAATGCAATTTCAATCCAATAATATCACAATAATTATTCAATGTCTAAACTATACAACCACAGTCGTAACTGTTAAAGTTGCATTCAGAGTACGGAATATAAAGCGAAACTCGATACCTTTTAGTTCAATCAATATCCAAGCAATACGGGTGCAATGGGTGCTAGTGTTGCAACTCAAGAGTACGAAATTTCACAATACCAATGTCGATCGATCGGAATTAGATTCAAGAGTGAGGCTTCCCCTGAGGGGTTGATTATGTCACTACTTGAAGCGGTGGCTCGATTAAATTCAAGCTGTTCCAGGAACTCATAGTCATGTACTCATGTCACTCAAACCAGTTTATAATGTAGGTTAACCAATAACGTGTGGCGTAGCTTGAAACTGCTAAGAGTCGCCTCGTTAAACAGTCACGTAAGTAAGCAAACAATATAATTCATAATTATAATTATTGTTCACGATAGTTATATTACAAAAATAGGAATAATAATGCGAACATACCTCCATCATCTCAATCTGTCTCATGTGTAAGTTTTTAGCGTTCTGTAGTTGCATGCGAGTCTCGTCGAGTGCAGTCTTCATCTGCATAGACTCGTTGTACAGCACTGAGAACTGGCTCTGTAGACACTTGTACTCCGTCGTCTCCACTATCACTGACTCCGGTAGCTGGCGGATCTGGTACAAACATGTTTATTAATTTACAGTTCATTCTAGTAAGATTGTATAACTTTTTACACATGCACACTTAAATATATCACCCAAAAAACTTAGGACTGTGTTTTTCACTATATGCATAAGGTAACAAAAACACGTGGAAGGTACTCACATCCATCTTGAGCTTCTCGACCTCCTTGAGCGTGTCGCGATGTTGCCTGTGCAGGCGGTCGAGCTCGGCGAGGCGGTTGTTGGCGAGCTCGCGCTGCTCCTCCAGCTCGGCCGCCACGTCCTCCAGCTTGGCCGCCGCCACGGCGCCCGCCGCCGCGCCCGCGCCCGCGGAGCTCGCCGCCGCCGGCACCGCGCTCGCTCCCGACTGGTGGTAGCTCTTCAACTTCTCTATGGCCTCCGCCAGGTGATTCTCCAACTTATCGTTACGGGACCGCACCTGTTACAAATGTAATGAAATCATTTAACTAATGTGTGTCTAAATAGTAAAAGTTCAAAGACAAAAATATTCTGTAATCAATCCAAGCCAAAGCCGACGCAGACAAACGAACCTTCATAAGCTCATATTGTAGATCATCAATCTGGTTCTTCAGCTCTGCATTCTCAGTATCTCTGCTGTTGACAGCATCCTGTAGCTGCGCCACTCTAAGAGTCATGGCGTGGTGACTCTCATGCAACGTCGTGCATAGCGCTTGTAGGCGTCGGTTCTCAACTGTCACTTCCTCATTGGTGGCGCGTATCACATCATCTAATGATGGGGCTGGAGCTGATTCTGAAATAGGAATTAATTAATAAATATAAACACAAGGTCATAAATTCACGAGTACATAAGCGTACTTCACAGAGAATGTTGTAATAATGATCCTCATCATATCAGTCACAAAATGTTAAACAGCTAAACATAGGCTTCCGAAGTTGTTATGATATACTACACAATCTCAAGCCTCAACATTGAACTCAGGATCCAGTATACTTTACGTCAGATTTATGAATATAGCCATGACATAAAAAAACTAAAAAGTAAAACAACTAAACGAAGGGTTGCTAGGCTTCATAACAGAATAAAAGAATCATCTTACCCTCACTCTCGCCCTTGATAGCTCGCCAGATCTTATCATTCCTCTGCTGCAGTCGGTCGAAGGCTTGTAACACCTTCGCGACCGCTCGTTTGCTCACTTGTACCCGATTAGCCAGCTGAGCGTCCAACTCCTCCTTGTCCCATGTAGACAGCTGCATGAGGAACGAAGTTGTTGCTTCATTCTCGTCTAAAAACAAGCAAAAATTGATTAATTAATTTATTTATTTATTACATGCTTTTACAAAACAAATAGTTATAACTAATAGTAGAATTATAGAATATTACATTATTGTTTCAAAAGCGAGTGTAAATGTTTCGCTTGTAATAAGGTATTAAAATTGCAATATCATAATACAATAATACTTAGCCTAGGTTATCATAATCGTATCTAAACTTGGTATAGCTTTACTTTTAATAATGTTAAAATCAGCCTCTATTAAAAACTCTATGATACTTTCATAATTTTGATTGAACTCAAAACCTCAAATTAAGCCATTTACACATTACAGAAAACCAAAAACAAAGACTAGACACATCATTTATTATTACAGTCAACTTAATTTTCACATACAAATAAAATGTGTAGTTATCATACAATAGCATTGCCAGTGGCCTTCACCTAGTAATAAACTATTAATTATATGAGTCCCACCCTAGTCTCTGTGACACAACTAACTGTGAAGTGTTGCAATTAAAAATATTACTTCATTGTTTTACGGCAACTGCACTGCTAAACTTCCAATGACGAAGTAAAAGAAATCGTTGAAACTCCATCATCATCAGTCACAAGACATCCACAGCTGATCAATGACTGCTAGATAGGCCAGTTGGAAACAAACAAAATTCCCTATAACCTACATTCACAGACACAGAGAATTAAGGACCTTTGAAATAGGCAAATAATTATATCATAAATACAAATTATGTACCTGAAATGTGGCTTCACTAAATAAACCTGTACTGTATTACTAAATCAAATCAATGTATTTTCGATGACTGAATGTTGTTCCCCAAAATACAAGCATACAGCTTAGTATTGGTATCAGTACGACCTACTAGTATACATTGTAAAATATGTTCCTATTGTGTATGATTCTAAAGACAGAAGCTGTAATATTATTTGTCAATAAATAATTGTTATCATTATTATGTGCGTCTTTACCAATGGGGCCATACCACAGGACCACAGGTCATTTGGGAAGCGTACAAGAAGCTGCCAACTGCTTAGGCCCTTTAGACAACTTTAATCTTAATGCTGTCCTTAACTGAACTTAACCTTAATCCTTCAAATTGAGTTACTTTATGATTGGCCCCATTATTCATGACAAAAGTGAAATCATGACAAATATTCTTAATATAAACATCACAAGACAATATTCTAAACTTTTTAACAAGAGATTTAGTCTCTTGTTAGAAAAAGTTAAGTAAAAGTTAAGAAAAAGTAATAAATAAAGTAAAAGCAATATCCATTTTGGCCCTTAGTGCCTTTAGCCCTTAGATATTGCTTTTAATAGTAAGTTACACAATATTGAATAAGGATTATATCAGACTAATGCTTTAATTATAGTTCTGTCAATTTCTTTGTGATGACATGATATTTAAGTCCAACATAAAATTGATTAGCCTTTCAGTATTCGGGCATAACACCACATACTAATCCATCTAATGATTTTATCTCCATATTAATTAACAGTTAGTACCTACACCTTACATAATTTCCATTTTAGCAATCAAAGAATATGAAAAATCATGTTCCGTTTTCACAGTACCATGACTAATGAATATCATTAGCTATCAATCAACTAATTAGATTAATTCATACAACAGTTATAACAGAAAATTAACATTCATTCTTATCCCTACAATAATATTACAGAAACAAGTGTGTTTGTTTGTATTTCCTGACAATTTTTGGTTTAGACATAACTAGTGAGCAAGCCATAGGTGTTTTTACTCATTTGACCACTTAGGTAAACATGCAGTTAACAGCTAGTACATTATGACACAGTAACACTTACTTTTATTTTCTGATTCATCCGCAGTTTCAGCATCGAAACGCTGTAGTAATACTCTAATATCTTCATTGAGGAGATTCCAATACCGATTGACAACACAGAGCACTGCATCATCCTGTGTTTGACGTTTCTCCAGTTGTTCAATCCTGGCACGGAGTTCTGCCTCACATCTATGGCGCTGTTCAATCCTCTGGAAGAATAAACATTTTAGTGTGGTTAGTTTTGTGGCTTACTGAGAACTAAGGTTTTATATTATAATATCGACAGGAATTTATACTTTATGTCACCTGTAGGCTCATAAAAGTTGCTATTATGATGACTATTGATACATTCTGATATACATTCATTTGTTAGTAATCTTCCAAGACATTACACTAATAATGTTTAGATTAACCAAGTATACACAATTTACATTGGCAGATATAAATACGAAGTTCAGATCAAGTTTGAACGATAATTTAATACAATGTAAACGTCTGTACTTCAGAATATATTAAATTTCTCTTCCTCTTGGGTCATGACCTTTCAACACAAAAGAAACCAAACAATACAATATCAAAATAGATCTTTAGACTACCAAAACCAGGATAAGTAACGAGTTTACATGACTTAATCATGTTCTTTTTAATGCCTCAAAACATTAAACTAACTACATTGTTGTCACTGTCCATAAATACCATGTAATTGGGTGTTGATAAACAGCTGATCATGACATGTTTAACTCTCACTAGACCTGCAAAATAATGTAATATATATGTAATTAAACATGCATAATAAATACCTGAGCCAATTTCTTGTTTTGAAACTGGAGAACCTTTATGTCCATTTCCTCTAGAGTGGACACAGGGCCAATAAGATGGGGTTCAAAGTGAACCTTCTTGATTGGAGGCTGGCTACTGCCATTACCAGCATCGTCTGCCGCTCGTTTAGACATTTTGACCTAGAATGAAACCAAGAAAAGTGAAATCCGCAATCCTAAAATTATGTATGTAGTCTTGTTACGAAAACTATTGATCAATATAACCCGATCAAGTTAAAAAGAGGTTATAAGCAGGAAATTAGGGAGACAGCCGTGTTCTTTTCGCTTTGGTTGCGTTATATACATACCTGCTTGTCAATATTGACACTCTCGTAAATTGTTGTTAATTCAAGTGCATAAGCAGGGAATTCATATATTTACAAAAATCTATAATAACTATCATTTTGCTAATGAAAGCAGAACAAAACAAACTGATAACCCAAGCTCCGCCCGAGATATTGCCAACCTACTCGATGGCCTTCGCCTCGCACGTCCTCGTCCGAGTAGGCACTAGTGTTGTTCTTAGTATTACTAATTTAACAAACGGACGCGGACCCGGTTATAATTATATTAGCCTTTTTATATATTTTTTTTATTACTTTTCTAACTAATTACTTTGTAAGTATTTTTTATTTCGTTACAGAATACTATTCTGAATTTTAGTCGATTTTCAAAAAAATATAAATAAATCTTTTTTAAACAAACTATTGTCTATGTTTTTATATTTTTGAAACTTACGTGATTAGTGCCCGCTACCTAGGTACTTGTAAATGTGATTTTCTCATATAGAACTTACAAGAACTTTTCTCTTTCAAGTTTACTTGTATCGCAGGCTCTCAGATTCAGATCCATAGATTGTCGAGTTCTCTTGTGGTAGTTATGGTACCTTATCGCAGGCCTTTTCGTTAAATAAAGTGGAAAAAATCTGTGTTATTTCGTTATTTATTTGTAGATAATAGAATTTATCACCTATTTACTAAAAAATCACCCTGACATCCGAAATAATTATTACATACAAAATTAATTTTGTTACAGATTTGAAGTCATAATAGTCTTGTATTTCAGCTGGTCTTGGAACATTCTTAGAAAGACTCTATATTTCTTATCATGATATATTTTTGTGCTTAAATTAGGCTGTATGACTTCTGCTGTTCCACCCATATTTTCTATAGCATCCTGTACATTATTGAAGTGCTGGGAAGCACAGGCTCCTAGTATAGCAGAGCCAACTAGTACAGAATCTTTTTCATGGGGCTTCAGGATAGGAAGACCCATACAGTCAGCTTGAGTCTGGACGAAGAGTGGGTCTTTCGTAATACCGCCACAAATAAGCAAAGATTTAAATGGCTCGTACCCTGCCAAAACAAGAGCCTCAACAATGTGTCGTGTGCCATACTGAAACAAAATACAAGAACAGAATATTAAATATAAGAATACAAATTAAAATTCAATTTATATTATGGTCCACTAAATCATTTCCATAACATCCATGCTGTTGTTAATACACCCTGTATTTTTAAATAGTATAATATTAAGTAGAAAAGAGCAACAAGGTGAAGAATAAAGTTGTTATATAATGCTGTATGTCATTTACAATAGGTGACAATAAAGATATGGGTAGTCTTTATGTTTATCTTTATCAACACTATATTTACTATTTATAGTATGTGTATCTATAGTATATTACACACAATTATTTGTCTATTATATTGAAGTACTCACCGATAGAGCTTGCATAGTGGCTAGGTAAAGTAAGGCTAAGTTAGCTTCACTGTTGTCTATAGATAGTCCACAGATCATTCCTCTCATTGAAGGGTCGGCTAATGGTGACCGATTGCCATGAAAATCAGGCCAAACATGAATGTCTTTTGTTAAATAACTGACATCATTATGTCCTTCCAATCTTGCCATTTTTGAGAGTAAACCCCTCAAATGGTTGCGGGTACTGTAAATCAAACATTTGGTAATTAAATATAATATTTGCTTCCAGGACAGTGTTATTAAAAATGGGTTTGTAGTAAATTAATTGTTGGTAACTTACTCGCCTGGAGACATGGCTTTAAGCAGTTCAGCGCCAGCAGGATGACTTGATATTATATGGTCCAATAACATTCCAGAAGCACTTTGCCCAGCCTCATTCAACCACATACTTGGAACCATTGCGCTGTAATACGGTCCCCACACCCCTTGAACGAGAACAGCCTTCTTATTCACAGCCATATGACATGTAGAAGTCCCACAGATTAGACCAAGACGGGAAGACATGTCCTTATCTATTCCCTTACCATGGGTCCCTATCATGCCCAAACCTCCAGCATGTGCATCTATAATGGACGTAGCAACTGGAATACCAGGCCGTAGTCCCAATGTATTGGCTACCTCGGCTGTTAGACCACCACAGAGTTCACCAGGCATTAGGACTTTGTTTCCAATCTTCTTAAAGTTATCTGCAGCTAAGTCTTCTAATCCAATCTCTCGTAAGAATTCTGTATTCCAACCTTGTTTCCCATCTATAGAGCATTCATAATTCCATTTACAAACCAAAGAGCATAGGGAACGGCTTAATGAACCAGTAGCTCTCCATGTAAGGAAATCTGGTAGATCAAAAAAGTATCCATAGTCATCCCATTTATTTGGAAGATGTTTCTTCAACCAAAGTAATTTCGGCATTTCCATTTCAAGACTCACTTTTCCACCAACATATTTCAGTATATCATGGTTAGTTTTATTTATCGTATCTGCCTCAGTCTGTGCTCTGTGGTCCATCCACATGATAATATTTTGTTCATTGTTGTTTGTGCCAACAGAGAGTGGATTGCCATGTTTATCCAAAGCTACCAAGGAGCATGTGGCATCAAACCCAATGCCTTTAATACTTGTAGGATTAACATTTGAAAGAATATTCTGAAAAATAAGATCAACTGTTAATATTTACAGCTAAACTGCCTCATACGCACATCTGTATAAAGTAGTTGTGGGTGAATAAGTTTAGAATAAATTGATGGACAGTCAAACAAAACACTCAATACTCACTTTTATGACAAACACACAGCATTCCCAGATATTATTGGATGATTGTTCATAATAATCAACTTTAGGTTTCCATGTCTGAATTTCCTTAACACATGAATTGAGGACATGACCTTTGTCATCAACCAACGCCGCTCGTACGCTCCCAGAGCCCACATCCACGCCAATGAAATAAATTTCTTTGCTCATTTGGAAGTAGGTATGTGATCTGCATGATTATAAAACAAAACAACTTTTATACATTTGGAATGAAAAATGTTAGTAAATAATGATCATTTGATAAACAACGGTAATAATATTCACCAAGTAAAATAGAGAATGCTCCAAATCGAGAAATACGTACGTTTCAATAGTGAATGTTGCACTGGCGACGAATAAAGCCAATTGATAAAACGGCCTTGGCGTTGTTATGATACTTTATCAAGTAATAAAACTAAGTCTCACGAGATAACCTTGTTGTCCTCTGAACTTTATTATAACCATAATATATCCAGCAATGTTCCGTGCAACTGAGAAATATTGCATTGTCAACTTAACTAATGTTATAAAAGGACCTTGGACAAAATTATACTGTCTGTTTTCTTATCCAATAAATACTTATAATTAATACCTAATTCTAATTTCATTTCAATAAAATAACAATTTAGAATAACAAAACTTCGTATTTCAATATTCCCGCTTCGTCTAGCAGAAACGTCAATAGAATGCAAATGTCATTGTCAATGTCATCAAGTAATGAAGTGACCTTAAATAATGAAAGTGACGATTTGTTAAATAATAATAATACATTTATTTGCTTAAAACATGATATAAAATAGGTGTCAAAAATATGGTTAAAGTACTACATATTTTGTTAGTATTTCTATAGCCTGCAAAATCAGGAATGTTCAAAAGTAATCCTAGGCGCGAGGTTCCTCTGCATGAAATCACTTACAGAATAATAGTAATTTACGCTTAAATAGGTACATTTACTTATTAACTTATTAACATTTATAATAACATATTAATAAGACATTCATCATTCGGTATATTATTATAGATACGGATACTGATATAAAGAGTAGTGTACACAGTTCAATGTTCACACAAATAAATAGAAAACTACTTTAACTAAGTTTACAATGTTAATTTATGAACAGAAATATAATGAACATTAAACTATATCGTTTAGTTGACCCTTTGCAAACTTGCTTCTCTCTGAACATCGTGATCTCTGGGTTGGGTACATAAAGCCGACTTCTAGTGTTACATAATACTGACATTTTTGACGACTATGACTATTAAGCTTTTATATTTTATTTTAGTACCATTAGTGTGTACGCTAAGGCTTATCCAACCTTACCATAGAAAAAAATACATTAACGACAATTTGGCAACTAATAATTAAAAAAATATTTTGTCACTCCCTAGAATTGTCAAGTCTGGTCAAGTCAATGACTGTCAATGTCATTACGATATTGTTGTTTGTGTCGTGATTGTTTTGAATTCTAATTTTCAACTATTTTAAAAATATTTATATAAGCCATAATTTCGTAATTGACTTGTACAGCAATGGTTCGGTTTAAAAATAGGTACGTTCTTTTATAATAAGATAAATTAACATTTATGTAACCTAATTCACTCATCCATGTGGTCATGAACATACGTGCTGTTTTTTGATTGTACTGTTTATGTTTATTTTCCAGATATATCACTGTTGAGATAGTAGCTCCTTTAATACCAGACGACAAACCACTTGAGTTAAAACCAAAGATATTCCACAACACTGTTCTAAGTAAAATTCAACAGATGTATGGTGATTTTGGTGTTGCTGCTGTCACAAATGGATTTCTAACAAAATATTGCAATGAACATACAAGAATAGCTATAATAAGATCAAGACATGGACCACACAGATTTGTCACTAGTAGTCTTCCATTTATTACTAAAATAGGTAATCTTGATGTTAGACTGAATACATTGCATGTCGGTGCCACACTAAAACATTGTTTCAAGTTCATACAAAAGCATCAGAGAGCTTATTTAGATACAATGTGGTGTAAATTAAAAACTGATGAAGAAAGGCGAAAGTTAGAAGCTGCTGTCCTAGACTATACAAAAACAGATGTTGCTATAAATATAGAAAATATTACATGACAATGTCTTTAATTTACCTGGATTTTTTTATATGCATGTTTTAAATTCCATGTATTGTATCTAACCTCTGAATCGAACCTGTGAGACAGACAGACAAACACTCATGACAGTGATAATGAAGTCATCATACTTTTAATATTCTTAAAAACACAAAATGTATACCCAAAAACTAAAAGAGAAGAACATAATAACTACTTATCACTGAGTTACCTATACAATTAATAATAGGTACATTATTCTTTTTAAAAAACTGATGTGCCTCTCTTTTTTCAAACACGTATTGAAAACCATATCAAAATCTGTCCAGCCAATTGCGAGATAATCGCACACAAACATACATACAGGTCAAACTAAGATAATTTTTAAAATAACCTTTATTGATTCAACGTCATTTAATTACAAAAATATAGCACTTGATTACATTTTAATTAACGATTTTTCTGAGTATTTTTAAAATGAATTTTCTTAATCTCTATGTACATGTACTTATAGCACTTATTCTAGTCTAGTCCCAGGTGAGAGAAGTCATTCAATGATTGCCCCACCCCATAATAAAAAAGCACTTATTCTAATGTAACTCTATTATTGCATATCCAGTTCCTTTTTTAATTTTATTTACAAGGTATATTTTTATTTATTTATAATATATCTTTATTTCCTTAAATCTATATAATTTAATTTTAAGACTATGGTTAATTTAAGGACAAAAATGCTAATCACTTATCTGGATTGGTGGGAACTTGTAGGTAAAGCTTTTTTGTCAAAGTTGACTGAAATAGAGGCACTTGGGTACATCCCACCTTTTGGCATATAAAATTCACATTATTATTGACTTTAGTGAAAATATCATAGACATGTTCATTATTAGCAAACTTCCTTATTGTTCTACATAGTACCTGTATGAATATTGATCCTCTTTTCTCATTTCTGTAAGCTTCTAGTTCAGGTGCAGTGGCATAGTAAACAAGGAAGTTCGACTTCCTTAAATTGTAATCTCTCGGGCTGTCAGCTACTAAAATCTGGGGAGTATTTTCATCAACTTGGCAAGCTTGAACTATCAAAAGCTTGGGCATGCTGTGTATATTTTTGGCTTCATCAGAGTCCAGTAAATTCTGAATATCGTCCATTTTAACTTTCACAGAATCAGCTGCATATACCTGGCCCTTCACTCCATGAGACAGTATGCACAGCATAAAAATGCTGTCATTCTTGCTGACTTTATGTTTGACAACATTCATTATGAACTGCATCATCTTTTTATGGTCCAAATCTGTTTCAGAGAAAACGGTAAAGTTTAGTTCACTCATAGTCTTTTCAAGAATCATCTTATCCTTGTCGGAGCCAATTCTTGTATCTAGTGTAATATTTCCATTTAATTCAATGCTGTTCTTGGATGGATAAAATGTTTCCTGATTTATGATGACACAAACTCCAACCCTGTTGGTACTCTTGATTTCATAGCTATCATTGTCCAGTAGCTTCCTATCAGACTTTAGAGATTCTTGTGTTCTTTCATCCAACTGCAACTCCCCAAGCATTTCAAAAACATCATTAAAGTCCATATTGTAGTAATTGTCATCAGCTTTCCCTTGATTTGTTTCATCCACTTTCATATGTTTCATTATAGGAGTACTGGTAGCAACTGAGGCACTTGGTTTGTGCTCATCATTCAATGATTGTTGCAACATATTGATCTCCAAAAGCAGTTTCTTCAATCCCGGCAGGCTTTCTAAAATCTTGACAAGTTTGTCTATTTCTACTTTAAAGCCCAGAACCTTTTTGTTGTATTGGTATTGATTAATTGTTATAAATTTGTCACACATGAGCTTTAGGAAAACTTGTTCACAACATTCATATTCTGTAGTGTCAGTCTCATAAGTTAGGAGAGCTTTTTTAAGTTTCAGAAGATTGTCAGAGTTAATGCTTTCACATAATTTGTATAAGGCTTTTTTCATGGGGTTTATGTACATTTTTACAGTTATGGAGTCCGTTTGATAGTACCTGCGTGCTGCAGGGACATTTAATCCTAGTTTTCTGACAATACTGTACAGTTGACAGATAAGTAGAGCTTCTACAAATTCATGTTTCCAGTTGGGGTTGTGCTTGGCATGCCGAAACCACTCGTGTAGCATGTTCAGATTTATAGAGTTACTGGCATCGTTGGAAACGCGTTGAAAAACAATCAAACGTTGTAGTGCTGTGTCCGGTACCTCATAAAGAAGAAACACAAGAGATATCAAGTCGCTGGGGTTCTCTTGTAGTTCTTTTTCAATTTCTGACATCATATCAATATTCGTAATATCACTGTCTCCAATAACATTTTCCACTTCTAATCTTTGTGGTGTTGTGCTTGTGCTAGCACTGCTAGCAACAGAGTCTACAGAAAACATTTTCTGGTTCAAATTATTATTTCACGATAAATAAGCAAACTAAAAATATAGTAATATAACACTTAGAGCGTACAACTTTATTCTTATTCAATAAAAAACAGAGAAAAACATTTTAATGAACTTCAACTTTCAATGATGACAATAGTAATAGTGATGCGACATTCGATAGACCCAAATCGATTATTAGATAATATAATATTTTTTTTATAGGGATCGAGTTGACAGTAACTAAATCTTTTGAGTTTCATTAAAATTGTATTCTATTATACATTTTCTATGGTAATATCTTCTAAAAGTGTAACTATTGACATGCGCAAACTGCAATTCAAAATATTGTAGCTTCATTTTCTTACTTAATGAATACCCAGAATTTAAAAATGTTTCCATTTTCAGTATCTGTTCGAAAAATTTCCCATCTCTAGTCAGATTAGAAGTAGAGATAGTTCAAATAAATACTAAAAATAAGTAATTAAGAAGGCAGCGAACGATGACAAGAAAATACCGATATTAACAATCGATACTTCAGTAGTAACATCACTAACCTCAGCTGGCTGTCAATGATATGACTGTTCTGGGGATTCCCAGTAATAGGTAGCTCCCCTAAACCATACCTAAAACTCTTTGTGGGAAATGAACTGTGTAAATAAATGATAATTGTAACATTAAGATTGAGAATGTAAATAAAAGTCAAAGTCATAATCATTTAATACAATTAGACCAGGAAGAGCACCCAGCTTCACCTAGTTTCACTGACGGACTGACTGATAGACTATTAGGTATTTATTTTGTATTTGTTGACGTTTCAAAAGTAGTTACCAAACTATGGTTTGATTGAAATAAATACTTTGACTTTGACTTTGAAGACACTTGGCTCATTTCAAGGTGTAGATTTCTATGGAAAAGAACAAGCAACAAACGCAACAAACTCACAATACAATTTTCTAGTTACGTTGTTTTGTTTGTTCGATTGTGTGAGAATATTGTAACACCAAAATACAGTCAAAGAGATTGAAAAAGAAAATAACCTAAAGGACAATAAATCATATTTAATTCTGTATATTGCATGACAAATAATTTTTAGGTTCAAGACTGAAATTATTTCAATTTATTGACTGATTTCAATCCTAAATTATTCTTAGACAGTCACAGACAAAATGCCAAAGTAAGCTGTCAGACTGTAACATCCGTCAGTGTCAAAAGTCACCATAAAAGAATGACTATCTGTCAACAGCAACATTCATTGCGAATGCGATGATTCCGAATATAAGATTTTTTAAATTAAAATCGCAATATTAATTAAAGGTTAACATAGAGAAGAAACCAGGAACTAATGAAATTATTGAAATATTGACACTTGACGTCAAATTTTGGTTATCATGCAAATTACAAGAACGGAAATCCTGAAACTTTACAAAAATCTTATGTTGTATTCGAAGTCACTGACATTCACTGATCCGGCGTACTTTAGACGGAGAGTGACCACGGAATTTCGTAATAATAAATCATTAACTAAAGCTAAAGATATTGCATTTGCGTACCAGGTAGTGTATTGAACTATCTAATCACACCACATTATTTTTGAGTTTAATACTATTATCTTTTTCATAGTTTTTGTTTGGCGAATTCATGTGTTACTGAACATTTGTTACTATGAGGCCTATATCCTGCCATGATTCTAAACTATGGAGCCAATTGTTTTGTAAGACAATAAGTTCTCATGTATTGTTAGGCACCCTACCTTATGCACATACGAATCTATATTTTCAGTAATTATGTAAGGAGATAATAATCAATTGTCTAATTTGATTTCTTATTTAATCGTTCATTATTTCAGAAAGGAGAAGCTCTGTTGCGCCGAGGAGCTGTGGTGTAAAATGCTGCTCAATCCACTGGTCCGCCTGCATGTGGGTGTTGTGTCCCGCATGTGTACGGCATTCAAACACACTATAGACTACTCCAAGGTCCCTAAAATCAATGAAAGTGATTTGTCAGAGCAGTTTGTTAGAGGCAGTGGACCTGGTGGCTCTGCTGTCAACAAAAATGCTAATTGTGTTGTTCTTACACATATTCCTACAGGTAATGTAATAAATTCAGTAATTAAAAATTAACCCAATAATCAGTTTTAGGACTGAATGTTTAACCTGTTGTGTGTCTTGATGTGGATCCATGCGAGACAGTGTTTTTCTATTGTGTCTCATATACGGGCATTCAAGCAGTTAATGTTCCTTTATACTAAGCAAATTATATAATTATGCTTTATATGAAATAATTCTTTACATTTTACAGGTCATGTAATAAAATGCCACACAAGTAGATGCCAAGATGAAAACAGGACAAGAGCTCGTGAGATGCTAATTACAAAATTAGATGAAGAGCTGAATGGAGAAGATAGTGTGACAGCACAGAAGAGAAGATTAGAAAGCAACAAGTATAAAAAAACAGAATATAAGAAAAAGAAAATGGCACAATTAAAGAGTGAGTGGAAGAAACGGGAAGGCTTGGCCTAAAGCCTTAGATACTGGATTGTATTGTACATAATGTAAAACTAGTTGTTCATAGTTGTTAGATTAAATAAGCAAGAATGTGTGATATGAGTTTTCTTTTTCAGATTTGTATGTTCCAAAGATATAGTCTGCATTATTAGATTTAAAAATTCCTTCTAAATTGTCTATGTCTGGTTTAAAGATACTGATTTGAAAATGAGGTACTCCCAGCATCCCTGTTACCATCTAAGGAGGTGGAGGTATACATTTGTGATGGAAGGTTATTCTATGGGCTCAGTACAGTATTTTTTCTACAATATTTGTATGTTGAGAGTTTTGTATTGTAACTTTCGTGAGACATACTAAATAAATTATTATGTTTTCGGCTTACTCATGTAGAAATTTGACGAGGAACTCGACTAGTTTCAAGCCATGCTAGAGGCTCATATTCATGAGCACCATTTCGCGACCCGCGACGCGGCGACTGAGCCTCTAGCATGGCTTGAAACTAGTCGAGTTTCTCGTCAAATTACTACGTGAGTAAGCCGAAAACATAATAATTTGTTGAGAGTTTTGTTTTAATGTATTGATAAATAAAGGATTTTTCCCTTTCCACTCACTTTATTATCAAGTAAATGCTAGAAACATAAATTGCATATAAATGTTACATTATCACAAATAAGAAACAAGAATTATCATTTATCTGCTATTCTATTTTTTAGTTTATTTGTGAAAGAGTTGACATGTTCTTTTAATATTTGCTGAATAGTTGAAAGCTCTTCACATTTGACTGGTAACCGATTCCCTTCTAAAATAACTTTCATGAGGCCACATAACTTCTGCGTGCTATAAATCATTTGGTGCTCAACGACATTGAGTAGTATTTTTAAACTTAGGTATGTCAAGTTGTTATACGCCAAATTCAGATAACTCAGTGTAAAGTTACCTATACAAAATGGGTAGTCGTCAATAATCTTAAAACTCGTAGTTCCAAATGGATCCTCAAATGGTCCCAGTATATCTTTGGCCATCATCTCTGCCTTTATATTCTGCCAGGTATTGTCTTGTGAGACGCGTTTTATTTTTTTTACAACTGTTTTAGGTCTATTGTGAGATTGGTAAGAGCCTTCTCTGGATGAAAGTGTTGTATGTGACATTAATTTTCGTTTAGATTTCTCTCGTTTTAATATGCTAGACGAGTTAAGTTTGTTAATACATTCTGCGTATATTTCTTGCTTCTTTTTCAAGTATAAGAAGTATCGTCGCCGCCTGTCCACGTTTTCGTCGTGAGTTAGCGGGAATTCTAACAAATGGCGAAATATGCAGATTGCACCTTCGTCGCCGATAACATTATCAGCTAAATTCAAATATCGCAAATGTCTATTAGTTCTTAGGGCGTTTGCTAAATATTTTGCTCCTTCATCCCCTATTTTGTTGGACGTCAGATTCAACGTGACTAAATGATTCTCAGCTAGTTCTGTATAGCGTAACATTGCGGCTATCTCTTTGCATTCTGGATCGCTTATGTTACATCTGCATAGTGATAGATTCTTAACAACTGTTGGTGCTTTTAATATGACTTCGTAGTTGGCATTGTTTAGTTTACAGTCATCCAAACATACATCAGTGATGGCAGAATAAAGAAGCATACTTTTAAAGTCGTGCACAATATTATGGTCGATGTAACAGTTTTTAATCGCAAACTTGGTTAACAGTGGGTAGTTGGCGATTATGTTGGATAAGACTTGAATGATCATCCTCGGTACGATCACCTCTTGGGAGTTAGTGATCATTAATTCTACAAGATGGTGTTGGACATCATACACAGCTTTCATTGCTAAATAGATATGTTTAGGATCTTTATGTGTATGCTCCATTACTATTGATTCCGTGTACAGCGTCGCCGGAGTGACTGTTGTTTGCTTGCGTTTCACTACGTAGACTACATTTCCTGATGCACTCTTGCCCCCTGACAACGGAACATTATAATTATTATACCTTACATCACGCCTTTTAATTTTTCGATGAGTAGGTCATGTTCACTTTTCACAAGTCCTGGAGTCCCATATAATAGGCGTGAGTTTATTGCATACCTACACCTTTTTATAACTAGATTATTAGTAATTAGGCCTCCGGTAACCTCAATCACACGACGAAACACAACGCAAGCTTTGCTCCACGTCGGTTTTCTGTGTGGTCGTGGTATCACTCCGGTCGAGCCGGCCCATTCGTGTCTACACTTAAGTGTTCTCTTACCTAAGGGTTTATTCAGCAGAGAACAACTTCTGGTTCTTGATGATAATGATGATGATGAGAACAAGTTGGTATGTACCATCTTATGCAGGTATTCTAGGTATACTTACGTTGTTGATATTCATCAACAGTCACACCAACAGGACATCTAAATCTCTTGAATATTTCGACCAAACAACCTTCCAAATCACTGTCTGTTAATTGAAACTTATCGTTCGATGGAACTACCCGAGTTGAAGCGGGATTCATTTTTATTTAAAATAAAAAATAAACAATATAAAGTAAATGAATCTATAAAACTGTATTAAAACCGTTATAAAAAAGGAATTGTATAAAAAATATTCAATATTACATTACATAACACATAATGTCAAAGATGACATGTAATTATGTACCTACTAAAGTTTTATCCAAAAATGGCAACTCTACTTACCAAAGAGTTTTGTGTTTATGGAAATTTGATCCAACCTTCCACGAGCCCTCTACATCCAAGGGGACACTTTCGGGCTCATGCTAGACAATAGCCTAAGTGTCGATGTCAGTGGTTAGTGGAAACAGAGGAGGTGTAGCAGATATAGGTCATCATCAGGTCTAGTAGGATTGGCTTTTATTCGTAGTCTTGAGAGAGCCATGTTTAAGCAATTCCTGCCCATATCCACACATCACATGGCCACAGCTTCAAAGAAGACAGGCGTAAACTGGTGGTGTTGTAAGTTATTTGGGTGCCCATGGGCGGTATTGAATGCTTACCGTCAGCTGGTTTGTCTGCCTGGTAATTTAGACTTACCTATTCCAATAAGTAGGTATGTATACATAGGTATATATAGGTATACCTACCTAGGTATAAGCGGAACTTGCTGAGGTTGGGGTCCCTGGGCACGGGCCCCTTGTGGTAAAGACGGCGTACCGTCTTTCAATTTAAATATTGCGAATAGATAGTTTTCAGTCTCGTATGCTTTATTTTTTAATGAGGATGATGTGGAAGCATCATGTTACAGGTTTAATCCTCATTTCCAGTAGCTAAGGTACACATGGTGTAAAAGAACAAAATCTAGGTATTTACTTTCGATTTCTAGGTACCTACTTATAAACGGTAAAGTGGGTAAGTACTAGAGTCTGGAATATTTAGTAGTTAGTAAATTAAACAAGTTCTTCTTAGGCACATACAGTTTATATCCTATTGTCTCGACGCAGAAAGGTTCTGCCGTAATAAACAATTCGTTTGTCTACATTGTTTAAATTTACGCTTCGACATCAAACCTAAATTGAATGCGAAATTACTTTGGCGGGTTCATCACGGCTGAGGGATTGTGGGTAAAAGCTGTTTTAATTAGTTGTCTAGTGCTCAAGCAAACTATTTAGTGCCGTTATATACACAACGGTTCAATTATATACAAAGCTGATGCTCACGCTGTTTTATAAAGTTTGTTTTTAATACCCTATTCATTCCGAGAGGAGCGTGGAGTAGCTAGTTGGGTATTGTAGAACAATATTTATTATACATGTGGTGGGTAACATCTCGGCCAATTTTCTGTTTTTGAATCTTGTTAAATCCGAAGCTAAATCTAAGTGCATGCAGCTTGAATATTTCTCCAGTCAGCAGTTTACTCAGTGATCACAGGAACAATGAAGTAGGTACAAAAGTCACCTTTCTTCTGTTAAGATAATTATTGTAGTATGATAAATGATGTCATAGTACGACGTTGTGCTTGTTATACATGTTGTAGCTGTAACAGGGATGTTTATTGCTAAACACCGGCGCAATAAAATCACTTCTACCACTTTAATAAAAATAAATGTGAAAACCAAATGCTATTTTGATTATTTTAAAAGCCAAAGCCTGAGTTCCGCATCATTGTTTACCTGCGTAAATAGTATCAACGATTTTTTTGACGGGGGAAAATCATCGAATGTCTTCTCCCGCCTGGGCGAGGCGAGAGGAAGTGTCAGACTCTTACTGACTAAAAACCACCCCGTTTCTATTCCTGCCCTTCGAGCCAGACCCCGGCAACACGTTAAGTCCTCCGCGGCTCCGTATCGGCATCAGATATTGGGCCACATCTGTGGTGGTCTGATGGATCTTTGAGGCGCGCGCGGAACGCTACGCGCCGTTCGCTCGGGCCTGGTTCTGGCCTGGTCGGGCGGCGAGCCATGACCCATGCTCGCCGTCCGCAGGCCCGTGGTTACGGTGGCCGAAGATCGTCCCGCGACCCCCGACGCCCGGAGTGTCCTTCGCGACGGCTGAGTTGTGAGGGGGCAGCGCTTGGCTGCCTCACACGCCCCGCCTCCTCCTTAGCTAGCATGACAGCTTCGCAAGAGGAGGAGACGGCATCCGGCATCCCAGCCCACCTAGCTCCGCATCATGTCCCGGTCTAGGGCCGGACGTGAGAGGTCGCAGTCACCGATCACATTCCTGAGGACACGGCGGTGCTCAGCCCACGCAGGGCATGCCCTTAACGTGTGGTCCACTGTGTCCTCAGGGCGGTCCTCGCAGTGATGATACCGATATGAGACTAGGCGACTAATATAATAATGTTCATTCCAAACAACCACAAACTATACATAGAGATGCTGACACTGTAATAATGGTTGGTGAGGGTAATACTATGACTGTAAAACGTCTACAATGTACTCTATCCTTGACCCACTTACACAGAGGCTGCGATCTCCCCTACCATTTGTTCGACCGAGTTACTGAGTTACAATCGACTTCCTAAATATGCGTAACAAAGAAGCAACGGAGACAAAAGGATTTCACCTTATTGTTTAACATTAAAATGTTCATTTTACCTTTGAAACAGATAGAATTGTTGTTTACGAAGCCTTTGTATGACTGCCGAAATTTTAGCAGGTTTAAAAGCTGATAGGAAAGAGGTATAAATAAAAGTTATTAAGGTCTACCTAGATAATTAGATATCTATCGAGAGCTGAGAGCGCATAAGCTCATAGGTATTAGAACATCAAATAGTATATACTTAGGTACCCACTACCTAACCGTAACTAATACCATGCCTGCCTAGTGCCTAGTCAAAGAGTTCAGTAGGTAATCGTTGCATACATATCTTTATCGTTTTCTTTTCGTTCTTGGCTTGCTTTACACGCAAGCATGTGCTACTTGGTCTAGAGATCTTAACAGTCTAACAATTTAGAGTATTAGAAGTGATGTGGAATTACGAGTGAACTCGATAGCAAACCAGCGATTTACAAGTAAAATAAAATCTAGAACCACATTTGGCAGCCCTAGATTTTCATAACGAAACCTTTTTATATTTAATAACACATTATTTATTTTTACACGCAGACTTACATTATGGCATGCACGTGTCTGTGTTCGGGGTAGGAGCAGGCAGACTGGGTCACGGTCGGTGACGTCACGGGACGCCTCAACCTCCCCTATGCGTTTGTTCTCCTTGGACAAACACTCGTAAAACTGCTGCTAATGAACTAACCAAATAGGGACATTACTTCACACTTATTCAAGGAAATCTTGCCCTAAAGATTTGTTACTAAGTGAATTAAGAAAACGATTTTAGTATTTTTACTAAACCTTTTCTTTCAGCCTGCTATGTTCCAAGCCCCATACCTAATTACGCAATGCTATGAATCATAAATGTTTTGATATGGTTATGGGTACCTACAGAATAACAGATGAATTAAAGAAAATGGTACAAGATAATTTCACGATTAAGTCAATGTAACTATTGGTATTTGTTAAACCCTTCGGGTATATCTATGTATGTATACAAATCTAGGTCGTAATGTAATATAAGCTAGGCTAGCTAGTATAAAGTGTATCTTTCCGATGTCCAACCTTCTTTCAACAAAGTAAAAAGAAAACTTTGCCACAAGGGAGCAGAAATAGCTAAAGAAATGTAACTTTGAGATTTCCTCGGGTAGTTACAGGGATAGTACCTACATTATAATCAGTGCTTTTATGTTTTGTTCTAGTAGGTACTGTGGACGTCTTTTGTAGGCTGGGTTTGGCCGAAAACTTATTTTATTTTGTTGATTATTTTCGAGTAGAAAAATGTAGACAATTGTTCTTGTGACAAGATTACTGTACTTTATGGTTGTTCTTTGTTTGTAACATAGGTCTGTAAGCACCATTCCTTTCGATTTCAAGATTTCTTAGTTAAAGTGAGTCTCTTGATCTACCTATTGTATTGTTTTTTTAAATACACATTTTGAGAATTTGTTACATTTCTACTTTGGACTACAAAGGTAAATTTTAAAAATAAGTAATTACTTAGTACAAGAAATCACAGATATAGGTAGGTACTAACTTCATTTATTATGTATATGGGGGTACAAACTACCAATCGGTGATTAAATATAGGGATAATAAAGCTGTCCAATAAAAAAAATCGGGCAACCTCGCTCTTTGTGGAAACCATCAAACCTATATCAAAGAGCAACAGCAAGCTATATTGTATCAGATAAAATGTTATTATTGGATTTTTTTTATTACGAAATTCCCACCTTGTTTTCGGTCTAGCAACCCTGCGTAATAGAATGGCGTCAGGGAAGTCGGTAATAAGGGTCAGCCCTACGACATGGCCCTTAATATCGATGTAGAGGTCATCAGGCCTAAGGGTGGATCCACATTTGCGGTTATCGCATCATATCGCCTTTACATATTATCCAAACCGTGATTGGATCACTATACTGAAGGATTTGTAATCAAAATATGCCTATTTCGCCAAGTAATTTGGTTAGAGGACAGCCAAAATTTGAATACCGTACAGTGTTGCAGGAGACTTTTATTCCAAAAGTTTCCTTGAACTGAATATCGTACAGGTTTAGCTTAAACTAGGATTGATTTTAGGATATTTTTCTATTAAATTTATTTTAAGCAAAAAAACAACAATCGTCTCAAAACAGGAAAATAAATATTTGGTTGACTCTCCATGTGTCATGAATCTAACAAAGAGTCGGTCAATAAAAAGAGAATATTCTCGTTATCCAATCTGATGTACTTCTCGTAAATCATTCCGATGAAATCTTGGTCTAATTTTAACGTTTCACGGAAACCTAAAACAGGACCATTATGAGTTTTACAGGCAGTCTATTGCGTTTATTACACGGATAAAATTGAAATAAACGATAGGCACATTCCCTTCGTAAAGGCGGTTCGTGAAATCGTGAGGGAAGGTGGCGAAATATTGAGGCTAATCGATCCTCAGTCCAAACTTCACAATGCTCAGTGTAACTACAAACGAGGCTGAATGTTCAATGACAAGCAAAATTATAGTGTCCTGAATTTGACATTAAGTTGAAATCTGCTTTTCATCAACGGCGCTCGGATAAGGGCCCCAAAAATGAAAAATGCGATGTTTTGTGATCTTTTAATGTTCCTAGGATGGTAATCATGTTTAATCGTTTGCCTGAAATTTGAGGTAAAACGATTACGACAAACTTCTAACATTTATATTAATTTAACTCGACGTAATAAAATGAAATGACCTAATGAAAATCTCGTAGGTACCTGTGTTATTGCCAGTAAATTTTGTGGTATCTATATCTATTAAATGTTGTACAAAGCAGCTTTTCACTATCAAGGAGAAAGGTAGATAAGAAGAATCAAATATGTATAGAAGCCCCGAGCGGGTCAGAAAAAACGGACTCAGATTTAAGATTACAATTCTTTTTCTAAAGCAAAAATAATGTTCATTGGGTTCACAAATTCGGTGTTTCGGAAAAATCGTACTTATACTAACGAGGTTTTAAATGGCTATCTTGTAAAAATGTACATTTGAATGGGTTCTTATTTTGTATGTATAAGTGAGGGACACGTGCCGACAAAGTCCCTTATGAATATACAGTGTATATGTGCTTAAGTAACTATATTTGTAAAAGCCAAAAGTCAACTTAATCAGGGTTAGGACGCGCGGTTCGAGTGACTCGTCCTTCGCCTCCAGAGTGTAGTAAAGTGTGACCCGGCCACCCCGGCCAGACAAACTTATTACGTGTAAACAGCCATAACGCAATTATGGGATGAATCGATCTCGAGATAATCTCATAGGACAACAAGGAGACAATATTTTTTGAGAATTGATTGTTTTTACTTCTCCCTCTTTCGTATGTATATTTTGTGTAACTACATAGATCTAAAGAAAGTGATTGTGCACTGAAATGTAGTGAGTGACCAACACCTCATTAAGGGTGATTGATGATAACTTCTAAAATAAAAACGATGAAGTAAAGCAGTTAATTGTCATCTATCGCTTAATTACTTTTATAAATGAAGTTGTTATTAGTAAAATAAAATGTTTTTAAGATTTTTTGGATATATACTTGTAGAAAGGTTATCGCATAGTAACCTCTTTTCAGTTAGGCACATAGAAGTTAGCATTATGTTATTAGAACTCAGACATTTAGATAATGCTTAATTAGTTGTTGCGAAACAGTGGTTTCAAATTACAACATTTTAAAAAAAGTAATGGTTAAGGTGGATTGTTTAAACCAGGCTACAGATTAGAACACCATTTGCTTATAACGGAATATGAATTGTAATATAAATAAAAACAAATTGGAAACACCTTCAATCAAATAAAATTGACACAGATTGACACGAGGTGTGCCAAATTCGTCGGAACATTTATCACATTTTGCAACCTCGTTTTTTTTATTAAATTCCCTCATAACTTTACCAATTAGGGTTGAAAGCTTTGAGATTGTTTTATTTCTTTTTGTTTAAGTGAAATGGATACTATTTTACGAGTGTTGTGACCCTGTAAATGACTTTAAGATGTCTCGATTCATCTCCATCAGAGTTAAGGAAACTGGACGTAGTATTTTCAACCGACTGTCAAAAGGAAGGTTATCTTAATATAGGTATTGGTCTGTTATTCATGTGAATGCATCAAAGCGCTTGGGTAAGTACGTCAGAACTCTCTACGTCACAGCGTGCGCATGAGTCATTATTGACGACACAAACTTCAACTTTTTGAGAAATACGTAGGTAAGCTTCAAACGAAATATTGTTACGTTATATCGCAGGTCGTTGCATCTTGAGGCTGGGTAAATAATTTGTTTCTTTGTGATGGTATACTGTTTTAAATGGTTATTTTTATTAGAAAAATATAAGTGTAAAGAATTGCTATTATAATAGCATTTATAAATCAAAGTGGCAATAGAAGGACCAGCATGATGGATGCCCAAAGGACTAACCACAAAACCATCGTGGTCAAGAATAGCTGAATACGAAAGGGGGGCAGAGGAATCATTGCACTGTGTAGTGATGAAATATGACTAGCACTATTTGCTTGACGCGAAAATCGAACTAACGACAATTAGTAGCACAGTAGTCAGGCTCGACATCAATCATACATATCAGGTCAAAACATTTGATGTTTACTTCACCTTCTAGCCTTCACTTATCTGTTGTCTGCACGAGCAAATGAGATTCTCTGAATACTGGTTTACGTCATGCGCACACACACAGTTACACGAACTTGTTTTAAATAAAACCAATCAACGGCAGGACGATCAAACGCGTCTGAGCACTCGCTCATTTACGTTACGTAAAATGGCCAGCAGAATATTTCTGTTGTGCCTGTTTGTTTCGTGTCTGACTGTGAATTATATAGAATGTGGTAGAAGCGGGGGAAGGAGCCGAGGAGGGGGCGGTGGCAGAAGCAGAGGAGGTTTCTCTTTTGGCTTTGGTTCCTCGAGCCACGGTTCTAAGCACAGTTGGAGCTCAAGCTCCTCATCGTCTTCACACAGTTCAGGATCACACGGATATCCTTCATCGTCTTCTGGTTTATCTGGTTATGGGTCCGGCCACCATTCATACCCTTCGTCGTCATCAGGATTATCTGGACATGGTTCTAACTCACACACATATCCATCATCGTCCTCAGGATTGTCTGGATACGGCTCCTCATCTTCTGGACCTACATGGCACTTTGGATCATCCAGTTACCCGTCATCATCATCAGGACTGTCTGGCTCTGGGTCGAGTTACAGACCTACGTCGAATCACCATTATCACCATACCAACGTGCACTACTCCTCACACCCACCAACATACTACTCTGCACCGCAGTACGTATATGTACAAGATTACAGAAACTCCGACAGTCGTTACGGAGACTTGCTGACTGGTTTGTCGCTGTACAACCTCGGTCGCTCACACAGTCACTACCATAACCACTACTATTATGATGATTACTACAGACACAGGTATGACTCCCCATCATACGGTTCCTCCTCATACAGTTCGCAGAACAAACCACAAGATGAAGCAAATTGCGTACTGAAAGTAAAAGAAAACGGACGAGAGGAAGCTCTGAAAATTCCTTGTGAAATTGTTTCAACCTTTACTCAAGATAGTAAAAAAGTGGATCTACCGCAGCAAACTCAGGTGAATAAAACTAAGTGTACGACAACTATTACCAACAAGCCAATGCCAGTGACTACAACATCCACTACGACAACGACGACGACGGAAAAACCATTTAATGGTTTTCCAGATAATTTCGACAACCTTTCATTGAACGAGATGCTGGCTTACGCCGATGCGGTAGGGAAAATGACGTTAGCGCCAAACGGTACTCTTATAATGCCACCGGTAAGCCCTCGTGGACAGTCTAGTCCAAGCTTTACCTTACCAGAGTGGGAACCCACGAAGGTTGTAGCCACCACGGAGCCACCGCACCCGCCTGTAACGACAGTGACTACAGAGACTTCATCAGTGAACGGTACTGTCTCATACATCACCAAGACGGTGACAACTAACGCGACTATGGTGAATGTGACAGTGTGTACTACTAATTCGACCTTTGTTGATCCTTTGAGTGCAAAAGGGTCACCGGTGGACCCTAATAATATGGAGTGTGCCGTAGAAATTCAAACAAAAGACGCTTATTTACGTAATGTTGTCGATTGTAAAACTTTGATGAAATACGCCAAAATGCCGGAGCCAAAGCCGGACACTGGCATATTACCCCCTAGAGAAAAACTGAAAACGTGGTTAGACAACCCTCCCTGGTGGATGTCTCTGTTTATTGCAGTGTAAATTAAGTACAAAACTTGTTTGTTATGCTAAAATCATGTTACTTTAATGCTATGTTGTGTGAGTAGTAGATTTTTTATAACTATAGGTATTGTATATTTTTCTAGATATTTTTACAACTAATTATAAAAATTTAGAATGCTATGTCAATATATTAAGCGTTTCTGAGTAGAAAAATACTAGAAATGACATTTGTAACTCTTTTTTATTTCAGTAGGCGTGTTTGAACTGTCATTAATTTGTTATTTATATTACGAGTACCTAATGGATAAATACTTTGAATGCTCTTTATTTTACGTACATTATTTCATCTACATGTATACAGGTTAAATAATAATTATTTAAAACAGAATGTACAGGATAAGTAATAAGCTATTGTTAGCAGGAAGTACGTATATTTACTATCAAACAAATAAATGAATATACTTATATGTACTTTAGGTATTATTTACATACTTCGAAAACACAATTAATGATGTATTTTAGCATCTATCAATTCATGTAACGAGGAAATACTTTGTTAATTCTAATTTAAATTAATAATAACTGTAATGACTAAGAGTGCCTGCCTAATTTGTAGAATGACTGTGTACCTACTCATATATTAATTTTGACCACACATAGCAATTAACGAGAAAGGTTAAATTATAATGTTATCAATTTATTTTGTATACCTCATTTTTAATATAGAAAAATATGAACAAGATGTTGCATTATTGTAGAAAATATATAAAAATAATACTCGTACTCTTAATTACTTTGTTATAAGTACAAAATGTTTTTTTTAAGACGGCTGAAATGTTTATAGTATAATTATTTTTTGTATAGAACACTGTACCTTAGATAACCCCTGTTTAGTACGTTTAATTTTTTTTACATTATTTTGTTACAAGTCATAAAGTCGTTGTATAAAATTAAGACTATAATATTTCTTTTGTACTAGCTTCTAACCGCGACTTCATACGCGCAATCCTGTTTCTCCCATTCCCGTAGGATTTTCAGGACTTTTTTCTGTCATTAGAACCTCCTCCTAACGATAAGAAACACAACAAAAAAAAAAATAGCCGAATCAGTCTAGTCGTTCTCAAGTTATGGCGTGACTACGGGAAACGGGTTTCATTTTTATATATAAAGATTTGTTGCCGTTTCAAAAGTAGGTACCAAATTATCACAGAGAATGAAATCAGTGCCTTCATGGGTTTATCAAAAGATAATTATTGAGTAAAAGATAAAAACTCTATTATAATATTTGAAATAAAATAAAATAAAAAATATTACTTAATCGTTTCATTTCACAAAAGAGGTTTGTCATATCTCCATATTTTGCAAGCGGTTTGGAGAAATCAGTTAAAAATGGTAAGGTTTAGTGTCTGTAAATGTCTAATCCGATTGGATTCTTAGATTAGGGGTAGTGACGGTAACAAATGTTTACTATTCTGTCATGGGTAATATGGTGATATGACACACAGAAACGATTAATACTGCGAAAGTATTCGTATGATTTCAGACAGTCATGTTACGATGGGCACGTTGCTTTTTAATTATTTAATTGGCACCAAATGTGCGATGCTCCTACTGACCTTGAGAACATGTTTTGTTGCATATCACGTGTTTACACATGCCGCCAATCAGGCATTTATTGGGGCTTGGCCTAATCGGGTTGAGTTATATTATTTAATTTGCTAAACATACAAGTGATTTTTGAATTTGTGCCTTATATTACAAATAGGTAGGCTAACATTGCATTGATTTAAGATAAATCTGTTGAGAGTTTGATCGAGTTTGTTTTACGTTTAAAGTAATAGTAACGAGTACGCATTCGGCGCTCTAATTGGTTGGTTCATTGGCGCGGGCCAATCAGAGAGCCGAACGCGTACTCGTTTCGAATACTTTAAACGTAAAACAAACCCATAATAAACCTCAGAAAACAAATACTGTACAAAAATGCTTAGCAAAAAAACGCTCAACGACTACAATATTCCGACACATACAACTACAATATACAACGAAAATTTCATGCTTGGCTTGGCATCAATCGTAGAATCACAGCTTTATTCCTGGTCACGTTCTTTATGGGGTCTCTAAATGAGCAGACGCATCACCTGATGGTGAGCACGGAATCGGTGCCCGGTGCACTAGAGGAGTTACCAGCGCGTTGCTGGCTTTTGAGGATGATGGAGAATTGGGGATGCGAGAGATGATTGATCTTCGGAGACCTCACTCACATGGGAAACACTTTTTTGTAAGGACGTAGTACCTATCAATCTACAGTTAAACAGGTACATTCGTGTCGAAGCATGGCTTTTCAACGTGAAATATGGTTTTTATTTTCAATACTTTTTATACCTCTACATAATTACGAGTATCTTCTGTTTAAATGCTCCTTGTGCCGCCTCACCGCTTAATAATATTCAATTAAAACATTTTTGACGTGGGGTCCATTTTGTAACTTCTATTTGACAGTTTTAATTTGATTATTTTTGTTATTTTCCGGGTCCATTAATTTTACCCAAATGTAGTGTTTGCATAATATTTTTCGAGTAGATTATAATACGAGATCCAGAAATGAAATAAAAATATTCACGATAATATGAGCACTGACAATGATATCTTTAGGTAGGTAGAGTGGTTCTTCCTATTTCTATGTTGAAGAAAATACTATCGTTGTATTAGCAGAAGAAAGTTACTACAAAGCCGTCCGTCCGATGATGAGGACAATATTGAATATATAATAATGTATCTAATGTTTAAATGCATTTTAATTTCTCTCTCTTTATTATTACAATTTATCTCTAATTTTGTTCCCGATTATAATTCATTATAAATAATTGTTAATAAATAAATACTAGTCGTTGCATGTCATGTTGTGTGCACATACTTGTGGAAGCATGGTCTGCCATTTACAGTTTTGTATTGTTACTCTGTTGTGTATTGCGCTGTGTTTCTGTTTTGTGTACCTATTAAATAAATAAATAAAGAGCATATAAATAGGTACCTGCCTATTCCTAAAGTCACTACATACTTATACTCCTCGTCATTGTCACTACATAATCCTCGTATTGGAAAAAATCTTTTTGTTGCCTTTTAACAGGGAATAAAAGTTATGTATTACGTCGTTAAAATGTAGCTTTCTACTTCTGTACCTTTATGATCGAGAGCCGCAACAACTGTTCACTGGAACGTAAGTAGAGAATGTAAGTTAATCCGCAAACACGCTCGGGAACGATGGCTTTGAGATATTACAGGGAAGCGCGACCGTAATGCGGGTAAAATCGGTTTATTCGTATTGTAAGCAAAATTATTTATAGTCAGATTATGGAATTTTATTCCACATGGCTTTTATTCATATCAACCAGAGGGAGTTCTGCTGGAGGTATAGAGATATATCTTTATCTCCCCATTGCCTCTTCCTGGCTAATACTAAATCCAAATTTGAGGTGTGCCTATAATTTATATATCCATTTATCAGTTGATACAAGAAGTAAAACAGATAGGGTAAGTCCCGTAACACCGGACGGCACCTAACGCCGGACACTTGTATTATCTCGATAACTGATAATACGAGCGATTGAATTTTTACTAAAAATCTTAAGTGTCTACCACTGGGAGACTACCCCCTAAAAATTGAATCGATCGCGTTATTAGTTATCGAGATAAATCAAGTGTCCGGCGTTAGGTGCCGTCCGGCGCTACAGGACTTTCCCCTAAGTAATAATTTATAAATTGGAGTTTCTTTAACCGGTTGTAAAACGTTATCGGTGAGCTTTTACGTTATTTTCTTTTTTACCATCGTATTTTTGGCCCTAAACCCTTTATTGTTAGGGCCCCGTAGTCCCAATATATGTGAAAGCTGTGAGTGCTAAAACCGATATTTGCGTTGAAAGGGTTATGGCACTTGCGACTGGTTCTTTCAGAAAGTACGTGTAGCATATCGAAGGACATATTTATTTGACGTAGCAACAATATTTTTGTTCTCAATTTTCTTATGGTGAACTAAAATGTAGGCAGATTCGAAAATAATATTACATGTAGAGGTAGGTAAGTACGTAACAGAAGTTTCGTATTTTTCGGTTGTAGGTAGTAACATACTTATAATTTCTAGGTGTACCTATCTTGTGTCCTAATAATTAGGTGTATGGTAAAGAAAAATTACTGTAAATATGACTCGATTTTTCTTAAATGAAACAGAAGTTTAAGAGCCATGTAAAAAGAGGTCGTTAACTTTACATTTAGGCTGATAGAGAACTTGTTAATCCTTGCATTTACTGGATAGAACTTTGTTAAATGTGAAGACCACAGACTCAAAATATTTGAAGTGCCAACTCTTAACTCAACTTATATGTACTCTACATAACATAAAGTCACGTACGTGATGTGATCACGTACGATTTTGGAAAGCGTATTCATTTTAGTCATTTCAATAAACAGTTTAAAGAAACAAAACGTAATTCGACAAAGGCGCCACTTGGTAAGCAAAAAACAAACTCAAATAATTGTCACTCGTCACAAGGCATGTCATATGATCTTCTACGTAGACTTTTATAAAATAGAAGTCTCCACTAGGCGGGTAAAATTCCGTCTAATACCGTAATGCTTGCATTCAGTGTAAGCTGAGCTTTAAGCTCTTTGCAATCGGCTTATGGCCGGCGGGGATATTGCACCGTCTATATGCTATGAATTGAGTTTTAGAAAACAAACATAAACAAAGTTTAGTGAATACCGTACCTAGAAATTTATACCTAAGTGGCTAAGTGGTATAATTTTCTGCACATAACATTATCTTTATACCTTTTCCATTTCCATTGACTTTCAAAGTTTCACATAATGTAAATTGTGATGAATTTTGAAAATCAGGTATTGAGCGCATTAGGTACTGATTATCAGACAATTACAAACCCTGAACTAATAACTAAAAACCAAAACGAAATCCCGATACATCTTTTTCCAACCAATCGATATTTCTGGGATATATACTGGGACGACATTTGCAACTTAACAACCAA